GACCTCTTGCTTTCTTCATGGATGATGTTCTTGATGTCATCCCACAATACCTCTGGTTTTTGGTCATTGGTGTTCAATGTATCAAATCTATTGTTTAGATGGTCTCTAAATTCAGGAGGGATATAATCAAGGTCATATTTGGCTCTTGTGGACTTGTTTTAATTGTCTTCAACTTCAACTTGAACTTGGAAATGAGCAGTTGATGGTCTGTTCCACAGTCAGCTCTTGTCCTTGTTTTGGCTGAAGATGTTGAACTTCTCCATTGCCTCTGGCCACAGATGTAGTCAATCTGATTCCTGTGTACTCTGTCTGGCAAAGTCTACATGTATAGCCATTGCTTATGCTGTTGAAAAAAGGTATTTGCAATGAATGAGTCCTTGGTCTTGCAAAATTCTACCATGCAATCTCCAGTGTTATTTCTATCACCAAGGCCATATTTTCCAACTATTGGTAACTCTTCTTTGTTTCCAACTTTCGCATTCTAGTCACCAGTGATAATCAACACATCTTGATTGCATGGTCAGTCAATTTGGTAGAAATCTTCAATTTCCTCACTTTTGGCTTTGGTGGTTGGTGCACAGATTTGAATAATAATAGTATTAACTGGTCTTTCTTGTAGGCATATGGATATTATCCTATCACTGACAGCGTTGTACTTCAGGACAGAACTTGAAACAGTCTTTATGATGATGAATGCCACACCATTCCTGTTCAATTTGTCATTCCCGGCATAGATCATATGGTTGTCTGATTCAAAATGGCCCAAAGCGGTCCATTTCAGCTCACTAATGCCTGGGATATCTTTATACATTCCATTTCATTTCTGACAACTTCCAATTTCCCTAGATTCACACTTCGTACATTCCATGTTCCAATTATTAATGGATGTTTGCATCTGTTTCAAGTCATTTTGAGTTGTGCCATATCAGCCAATGGAGGTCCCAGAAGCTTTACTCTATCCATATTGTTAAGGTCATCTCTACTCTGAGGAGTCAGCTCTTCCCCATTCAAATTCTGAGTGCCTTCCAACCTGATGGGCTCATCTTCCGGCAATATACTGGACAATATTTCAAGGCTATTCATAAAGTTTTCCAGTGATACATCAAACAGTGTTTCACTGCTATTCATAAGGTTTCCACTGGCCAATTGTTTGAGAAGTGGATGGCCTCTTCCTCAACGGCAGTGAGTGGGTTTATCCCAAGAACCATTAATAGCCTTTTCACAGGGCCATTTCACACATGGCTCTTTCCTGTGCATAATGTGATTTTAAGTATCAAAAGCCTCAGTCAACCAATCTAAGCAACAGACCCATGAATTGGGTTTAAAAAAAAAAAAAAGAAGAAGAATTTATCCTATGAGGGTCCTCAGAAGGAAGGTTGGGCAATCTACTTCTGTAGTGATACTGCCTCGGCAACCCAAGGAGGGGTCACAATGAGTCAGGTCTGACTCGACGGCACATAACAACAACAACATCCTCTGAGGGAAGCTACCAAAATAAATAAATAAATAAATAACCTCACTGACATTGAGTCAATTCTGACTCATAGTGACCCCCTTTGGGTTTCTGAGATGGTAAATCTTTATAGAAGTTGATTGCTGGGCCTTCCTTCCATGGAGTGGCTGGTGGGTTTGAACCACCAGTCTTCTGGTTAGTAGTCAAATGCCTTCAGCACCACTGGCAAACCAAAAGGGGATGCAAACAAAGTTGTTTACAAATTTTGTTAGTTCTCTTCACTCCTTTGTTCCTGAAGAGAAGGCCTAAGAACTTAATCAGCTGAGCTGAGTTTAAACAGAACAACAGTGGCCAAAATCACTGATCTTGATGTGTCCATATTTCACAGCCAAGTGTTTTGTGACGGCTTCTTCCTTGGAACCTCATTGCTGTTACTCTGGGAGGAAGCAGAGTGGGTGATACCATGCCCCCCACTTTACAGATGAACATACTTAAGGCTCAGGAAGGTTATACAGCCAAGTCGCAGGATGGACAGAATCCCCGTTCAGTCTGGGGAAGTGGAGAGAGATTCTGAAACTTGGTGCCAGTGGTTGTGTTGTGTGCCAGTGAGTCCATTCCAACTCATAGTAACCCCATGTGACAGAGTAGAAATGTCTTATATGGTTTTTTAGGCTGTCATCTTTATGGGAACAGACTGCTAGGTCTTTCTTCCATGGTGCTGCTGCTGCTGTTGTTGTTGTTGTTTTGCCGTCGAGTCGGCCCCGACTCATAGCGACCCTTCCTTGGGTTTCCGAGGCAGTATCACTACGGAAGTAGGATTGCCCAACCTTCCTTCCAAGGAGTGGCTAGTGGGTTTGAACCGCCAGCCTTCTGGTGAGCAGTCAAGTGCCTTAGCCACTATGCTACCAGAGCTCCCATGGTGCTCTGTCTATTTGCCAACCACTGGTTAGCAGCCAAATGCTTAACCACTGCACCACCAGGACTCCTTCTGAAACATTTATGGGGAACACCTCCTGTAAACTCTAATACCTGGCCGCATGAGAGATTAGGCCATCCCCAAATATCCCAAACCAAACCCACTGCGGGCTTGACGATTTTAACTCTTAGCAATGATACAGGACAGAGCAGAACTGCCCCAGAGGGTTTCCAAGGCTGTTATCTTCACAGAAACAGACGGCTTCATCTTTCTCCTGTGAAGCGGCTGGTGGGTTTGAACCACCAACCTTTTGGTTAGCAACCTAATGCTTCAACCATTGCACTACCAGAGCTCCTCTGAAACATCCCAGTTCCTCAATATTATTCCCAAGCAAATATCTTTCATCTAGGATGTTGGGAACAATTACCAAGTGGGAAAAAAGTGACTGTCCCCCAGTCACCAGTGGAAGAAGGACATTTTTTTAACCAATGCCTAGCTGGCCACAGGAACCTGTGAAGGTCCCACTAGGCCCCTAGAGCCTAGGGACAGCCTTACCTTTGGAGGAAGTCTGCGACTCAGGCTCTGCATATTCCTCCAGCTGCTTCACAGAATCACTGTCCTTCCCTCTCAGGGACAGGGTGTCTAAATTGTCCTTGTGCACCTCACTGGGCATGTCAGGCGTCGGCAGGCTGGGGTCCAGGCCCAGCCTGCTCAGGCTAGTGTAGACCAGATCCTGTGTGCTAGGATCCAGGTCCTGGTTGAGGGTGTCGCTGCTGTTGAGGCCCTGGCTGTCTGAGACGGATGGAACGTGCATCTCGGACGGAAGGGTATCCTCATCCTCGAGGTTGTACAGCTCCATGGCTCTCCCCTGTGGGGGCCTGACCAAGAACCACTGTGCCAACAGGCAAGGTTGCTGGAGGAGGCGAGGAAGAAGGATCCCTTGACGGTATCTAACTCCTAAAACAAACAAGGAAGAAGCAAAATGATGACAAGGCAACAGTGTGGTGGGCAGGGCATGGGCTCAGGATTCAAACCGACCTGTGTTTGAGTCTGTTCTCTGCCACTTAACAGCCATGGAACCTAATGCAAGTCACTGAAGCTCTGTGAGTTGTTTTCAGTTTCTTCATTTATAAAATGGGTATAGACTAGCTCCATGTCACATTATTGGAAGGAATAAACAATGGGCCTTTCAACAACACGACAGGCTGGACTGGCCTCTTTCTCCAGCTATATCGTTATTGGTGGGTACTGCAGAGTTGGTTCTGACTCAGAGCGACCCCGTGACACAGAACTGCCCCGGAGGGTTTCCTGGGCTGCCATCTTCACGGGAGCAGATCGCCAGATCTTTTTCCCACAGGGCCCACTGGGTTGGTTTGAACCGCCAACCTTTCGGTTCGTGGCTCAGTGTTTAACTGCTACTCCACCAGGGCTCCTTTCTCCAGTTACAAATATATAGAAATATGACAAAAGATCATTTTTAATACATAGCCAAGCTCAAAAAATGGGAGGTGGGGAGGGACAAGTTCTGGAAACATTGAGAAAACCCAAAAGCCAGCTACATACACTCAAGTGCAAGGGCAAAAGCAGGCTCAGATACTAGTCAGAAGCTGCGCTGTCCAAAATGTGGCCCCGATCACATGTGGCTCTGAGGCACTAGAACATGACTGGTCCCACCTGTGCTCAGGGTGTAAAACTTCATACCAGAAAAGGGTGCCAATGTAATAATCTTTATAATGATTACATGTTGCAATAGTAATAGTTAAACAGAATGAAGTAGAGAAATTGGGGTCCCCAGGTGGTACAAACAAAGCACTCAGCTGCTGACTGAAAGGCTGGAGGTGACAGTCCACCCAGAAGCCCTTCAGAAGACAGGCCTGCCAACCTACCTCCAAAATCTCAGCCACTGAAAACCCTATGGAGTCGCTGACCATGGTCCTTAGACACCCTTCAAGCCTGGACCAGAACTCACCCCCATGGCCCAACTTTCAGCCCAACAACAAACATGCCTATGAGGTGAACAGTAACACCAGGGAGGTATGCACTCCCTAGAACAATCAAGCACACGAGATCAAAAGGGCAGCATTTGCCAAGGAAGAAAGCAAAGAGACAGGAAGGGACAGGAAAGAAGGACAAAGGGTAAGAGGATACACAGGGAGGAAGAAGATACACAGGGAGGAAGTTACACTGTGGGGATTGCAATCAATGTCACGAAACAAAACATGTAGGAATTGTTGAATGGAAAACCCATGTGCTCTGAAAACTTTCACCCAAACTATAATAAAAAAATGTTTTAAAAAATGAAAACCAAGGAGGCGGGGCAAGATGGCGGACTAGGCAGAAGGATTGCACAGACCCTCTTCAACAAAGAAAAGGGAAACCAATTAACACAGACACAGAAGATAAT